CTCAACGACTAGTAAGTTACACTGAAGAATTGTGATATTTTTTAAATATTTACATTTTTGTCTTATTGCAGTGTCTTGAAAAAGGAATAAAACCATTCCGAAAGCTCGACAAAAAAGTCAAAAAGAGTGTTTTTTTTTAACATCCCGGCCAATATTCTGACTTGCAACCCTAATAAACTGTTTTATTTTGTTTATATCGACAGTCAATAATATCCAGTATTTCTTATATATATATATATATATATATATATATATATATATATATATATATATATATATATATATATTATAATATATATATATATATATATAATATATATATATATATATATATATATATAGCTATAATACAAAAAAAATTGTTGAAATCGTGTCATTTTTTAGCATTCTAGGCAAGAATAGTACCTTAAAGTTATTTTTGATCACAAGACATACGCACATATCTAATACCAACACATTGACATGTTCGACAACACGTGCGTTGATTTCTAAACATGATAAATGTATCTAGCTACGTATTACGTGATACATCAAAGGTTACCAGAACCATTCTTTAATTTCAAATTTATTTCCACGTTTTTTTTTAATAGCAATGAGTTTTACCTTAGTTTTTAAACTTCTTTCATCATCAAATCCAACCCATTGGTTACCTCTATAAGCAAATGGCACTTGTTGTTCATTGTCCCAAACCAGAGTAGTATTGTCTTCGTGCAGAAAATCGCAAATTTCATAATAGCTCATAAAACCAGCTTCAGAAGTATATTTTCCAGGCGTACCTCCACCACTTGCCGGAGCTCCAATGTCAAATTGTGTTGTATTTAACAATTCAAAACTTCTACCGTAGGTAGGCATACCAATCATAAGCTTTTCTCTTGGCGCACCTTGTTTGACCCATTCTCTTGCAGAGTAATCCTAAAAGAGCAAATAAAGTCTACTTACTATTTTAGTATACCTAATTTATAAGTTATCATTATTCACGTATATATAAAATATCTATTTTAATTTAAACTTATTTCTGTTAAATAGAATTAAACAATAGTTCTTATGGAACAAACTAATAAAATATTTGTTCGATTATCGCCAATAATATCTAGTATTGACCGCACCGAACCCTATCGAAAAAATACTTAAATTACCTATATGATAAAAAAAAATAAGATGAGCCATTAAAAACAAAATATATTTAATTCATACCGAATATAAAAAACTCTAAATGAGTTATAACATTTGCTTTCACTAGATATTTTCAATCGACATGTAAGCATTAAATTAATACTCCAGGGTTAACCCTGGAATCTCATTCCTGGGTGTGAGATACCCAACCAGACACTTAGCTTAACGTAGCATGCGGAGCAGCCATTAAGTGTTAATGGCGCTTCATGTAAGTTCAGTCTGTAGTCAGCTAAAGACGAGCCCGTAGTTGCGGTCTCATTTGAGCAATACATATATCCAATCACGAAAAATTATTGAATACGCTCTATGGTATGTAGGTTTTAGGTTTTTGATAATTTATTAAGTTTTCTTATAATTATCTTTTAGTAAAATAGTTTCCTGAAAAAAAAACTAGGAAAAACCTCGTCCGTTAACCCAAACTAAAGTGGAAAGGGAAGTCAAAAATGTATTTGCTAATGAAAACAACCAGGATGATGATAAATATATCATTGGTACCGATTCAGAATCTGACGAGGATTATGTCAAAGATAAAACTCCACCGATACTGATGAAAGTGAACAATGTGGTATTGAAGTACATCATGAACCAATTCGAAATATTGCAAGTTTACCTGAAAAAAAGAATATTGTTGGTCTACAGAACAACCCTCAAAGCGTAGTCGTACAGCAGCCAGAAATATTGTTACGCATTTATCAGACCCCAAAGGAAAAGCCATAATATTTCAGTCCCCTGAAAATGCCTGGAACTTACAGTTTATTGAAAAAATGTTAGATATTATTGTTTTTTATACAAATGAAGAAATCATTCGCAAAAATGAAAGTATCGCTGTGCAAAGTTACATATTGACAAGGTAAACAGAAGTTAAAGTCTTTATTGGGTTATGGTTATTATCTGGTGCATTACATGTTTCTAGCTCTAACGTTGAAGAACTTTGGTCCCTATGATGTCGCAGCAGAAGTTTGCATTTCTACCTGTATGCCTAAGATTTAGTGATAAAGAAACAAGAGCAATAAGGAAACCAGCGGATAAATTTGCGCTCATACGCGGAATATGGAAAATCTTTATAAGCAACTGCATATCCTACTACACTTTTTTTTAGGTTTGTACTATCAATAAAAATCTTCTATGATACAGGGGAATGGCACATTTAAAATTTATACGAGCAGTAAGCCTGATAAATATGGAATAAAGATAACGATGATGAATGTCTGTTGAACATTTTGAATGATAAACACTATTCCATATATTGGAAAAGTCTCAGTGCTAGCATTTTACTTTCAAAAATTGTCGGAACCAATACATGGAACCATCCGAAATATAGCAGTGGATAACTGGTTTACCTCAGTACTTCTGGCTGATCATATAATGAGGCAACCTTAACTAACTCATTTGGGTACACTCGACATAAATAAAACTAACCTCTTGTAACACATACACTCCAAAGCCCAAAAAGTTGTTCTTCTGCTACGTCAACATTAGGTCACGATGATTAGGTCAATGATGTTACAGGAAAACCAAATCTTATACATACTTATAATGAATTATAAGGAGGTACAGATACGTTTGACCAACTACGTCATTCTTATACTGCATCACAAAAATTCAGACGATGGCCACTAAGAATTTTTTTCAATATGCATTGAAAAGAAAAAACATTTAATTAACTGAAGATCATTTCTGAAATCTTTCTGAAGGACTTTAATTGAACCACAGGTTCAGATTATTAGGTATAAGGTTTAGGGAAGGTGTGATCTTCTAGGGTTAAGAAGTCAATTGCATCATAAACAAACGGATTTAATTAAATTTCGTGTAAAGTCTTTAAATGGATTGTGATGAAATTATTTTTTATAATTTATAATGTACTTACCACCGTTAATTTCTTTTGATACTTTGAAGCACTTTCTAACGGAAATAATGGAGCATTGTGGCCTACAGTTCTTTCCCATTGACCATGAAAATCATAAGTCATAACATTAATAAAATCTAAATATTTGGAAATTTCAGGAACATCGTATCCTGCTGCAATAGCTTCAAATGATGCAGGTACTGCAGCCGTTAGTAGCAACCTAGGCTGACCACTGGATTTAGCTTCGCCTAAAATAATTGAATAATAATTAAAATACTTGGAGTTATCTGAATTTTATTCTTGACTTATTTCGAATCTCCTTAAGTTTCTAGAGAGTTAAATTAACTTTATAATAAAAAATTAGTACTAAAAAATACTCAAGTTTCTACTTGACAGTTTGGTTAAATTTTAGTTTAGCGTGTATTTTTTAGTAACTTGTCTGCTTAATTTAAATATGTATGTAAAAATATCAAACTTGACATTTAATTCATAAAAGTATTCAGTTCTTCTGTTGTCATTGTTTTAATTGTCTCCTTACAATTGTCTTTTTAAAACCCTTATGTTTTGACTATTTGCTACTTATATTCTTCATTGTAAACGATAAAAAATAAAAAATGTATAATCATAAGAACATGTCTAGGATAATGCCAATAAGGCATCAGTAAAGGAATATCAACAATAGACGCATTCGTCTACTAATACAACTGATTGAAAAGTATTACGAACGTGACATAAACTTACACCTACTATTTATAGACTTCTAGCATACCTATGACTCTGTAAATAGACACAAACTCTTATTTCAAATGCAAAACATGAGCATACCAGCAAAACTGATTCGACAAGCGAAAATGACAATGTACAATTCTGTAGCGGAAGCTATAACAGACAAGAGAAACACAGAAACTAATAATATAGAAGTAGGACATCGACAAGGTTAAAGCATGTCTACAACACTTTTTAACATAGCACTGGACAGATCGATTAAAAAAATTAGAATCGACAAGATGATCATACAGAGTTCTACACAAATTCTAGGATGTGTCGACGATGTGCTAAGGTTCACAAGAGACCAAAAAATGCTTAAAATATGCAATGTTAGAAGAAGTGAAACTTGAGGACTAAAAATAGTTAAATAAATACAAAATATGTGCTAATCTTAAGAAAATATTGTAAAATAGATATTATAAACTTTAAAAAATTGTATTCCAAAATTAAGAGAGATTTAAGTATTAAGGTTTAACAATAGACAACTCAAACGATAGGAGCGCAGATATAACTAGAAGAGTAAAAGTGAGCAATAGTACATATTAAAAATAACAAAAACTACTAAAAAACATATCAGCAAAAACACCAAAATAAAAATATATAACAGCAATTAGACCTGTCATAATCTACGCAGCAGAAACAATGTGCCTGACTAATAGAGACGAAGAGAGCTAAGAAAGAAACAAAGAAAGGTTCTTAGAAGAATTCTTGAACCAAAAAAATCCAAGACGAATTGTATAGATGAATTTTTAACAAACATATAAAAAATCACAAAAATAGGGAAGATATAGTCAGACATATAAAGGCCCAAAGGTTCGGGCATGTACTAAGAAGATAAATTAATGAAAAACATATTAAATTGGAAACCTACAAATATAAGACCCAGAGGGTGACCAAAGTGCAGATGAAAAGATTAGTTCAGCAAAATATCAACAGAATGAAGATAGATACCTTACTGGAGGACAAAAATAGAAACAGAAAAGAAATGGAGCTTAATTACCAATCGTTTAACGCAACAGTTTCGTTAGTATGAAAAATCTAAACAGTATCAATACAAGTTGTCCTTTGACAAAAAAGAACCTTTTTAGACTGTAGATTTAGGAGAGAGGGGAAAGGTAGCTACAAATTTATTACCCAAGGAGTCATATAACAAGCCTATGTCCCAAACGGTAAAAAAGAAAAAGCACCTGATGGTCTTACTGTCGTACATATCAGAATCGCTGTGGGACTTTTACAAAAATCTACCCACAGATAAAGACTTAGCTGATGTGTTCTCAGATTCATCTACTTCTGACGACGATTAAAAGTTTGAAGCATCTTTAAGCTAGATTGGTATGCATAGGTATTTAATATGCAATGTTTTTAGTACTTAAATATATGTTGCACTTAAGTACGCTTGTACTAACATAACAAAATTTTTGATTATCCTCTGTGTTATCAATATTATATGTTCAATGACAAAGGTGTAAGCCATATGCGTATTTGTGAAAAAAAAGGCAAGTCAAACAAATATCGCTTTAAACATCTTTTGTTCCCAAATACTCAGCAAAAAAATGTTAATACATTTAGGAAAAATGTAACAAAAATTATCGTTCTAAACAATTAAAAAAAAATAAATATATATATATATATATATATATATATATATATATATATAATATATATATATGCATTTTGTTTATATTTATTATTTGTTTACGTTCAGTGTAATTAAATATTATTATTTGAAAAGTGTGCCTTTTAAGGTGTAAGTTTTGTTAAGTATTTGTAAAAATACATTGATACGCCTCTGGTCATGTTACTTGTCCGCGTACTGTCATAACGGCATTTATAAACACTTCCTGCCAAGCCCTCAAATATATATAACATAATACTGTTAAATAGTGAATAAAGAATTTAAGTATCTAAATCAATTTTAGTTTGTCCATTTCTATAATAAAATTAGTAACAACTAAGTGTCTCGAAGTATTCCCATTGTAACAGCTCCAGTGTCTCTGATGTACACTGATATACAGATTGAACAATAGGTGAATCTATCATACAAAGAAGCTCTTGTATTTCTGAGTTGATCAGGCATAACCTCGGCACAATGTTGGATAATTTTCGCCCTTAACTTCATTAAATTTTCGCCACATTCAAAATTGTGCCGATAAATCTTTGATTTAAGAAACCCCCAAAAAAAGAAATTATTTGGGGAGAAATCTGCTGATCTTGGAGACCACTTGATTGTACCGTTTGTCGCAATTAACTGGTTTGGAAATGTCCTTTGGAGATATTCGGTAACTGCCCTTGTATTATGACTGGGACATACGTCATGCTGGTACCAAATATCTCCAAAATTCATATTAGGAAGTTGCTGAATAGCAGGAACGATTTGATTTTTTAGCAGTTCGAGGTATTTAGTGCCGTTCAGGTTGCTCTCAATAAAAAAAAGACCTATTACATAATCGCCTAAAATACCCGTCCAAACATTAAGTTTTTGTGGGTATTGTGTGCGCACAGGAATACTTAGATGTTTATTGTCCCGAGACCAATATCAAACAATGGATGGATTGTGTTTCCTGTGAAGAGAAAATGTCGATTCGTCAGTAAAATAAAATGTACTTTAAAAAATTGTCGTTAGCATTTTGCTTTTCCATCATGACTTCTTCACAGAATACCATTCGTCTAGTATTGTCCTCGGAAAAAAGTTCTTGAGTTGTTTGAACTCTATAGCAACGATATCCATTTCTTTTTAAAATACCTCGAACAGTGTTTTTGCTTAAGTTTACTTGTTCAGCAATTTCCCTGCTTGAACACGGCTGGCTGGCCTCAAAAACAAAACAAACATCAACTTCATTATTTATACGTTGTTCACTCTTTTGACGAACTGGTGGTTCACCAAGATTGTTACACTTGTGACAGTTTTGAATACATCCACATTTGCGAAATTTTTTAATTATTCTTTCAACTGTGGAAATCGAAGGAACCGGCCTATTCGCAAAACAAACAACGAATAAATTAGCTATATCTCGAATCAAGTGACCTCCAAAATACCAAGTTAAAATTTGTATTTTTTTTTCAATTTTATATATTTTAACATATTTACGAAAATATTTTATTTTCACGCTACGGACTTACAGCCTAGAATCACTATGAAAACTAGACTAGATGCTGTCAAACCACTTACCGCTTCCTTAGACAAGCCCTTCTTTAAGCCGTGTTGCCACCCTCATTCCTCTAGCTGTTTCTCAAATAAGCTGTTAACCATAAAATATGTATTTACAGGAAAGAAAGGAAATAACTACATTAAGTTTATTTTTGTTATTAGTCTGTTGTAGTAGATTGGTAAATACAATGAAAAATATAGGCAAATATCCGATTTATTTAAAGATACGAAGAAGATATAACTTTCAAAAAGATCCGCAAATCGGATTATTACATGGCGATTGGCAACATTGACTGTGGTCGGTGCTCTTAGTCTACGGTGCGTTCTAAAAGTAGACAGATAGTGGAACGATATTTTATACAATGTCTATCACCGGATATGGATTTATTTTTGTCCAAGTTTTATATTGGTCCACTATTTCAAATGCAGTTCAAACAGACATAATATATTAAATTGTATGATCCGTTTTAAATTTGTTCAATCTGTATATCACCTATTTAACTAAAAATTTACAGATCATTTTTTAAGACAATTTCCTTTCCTTTCCTGTTTATATCAGGTTGTATAATATCAGTTTTTACCTAAATTAATTAAATACTTATAATATAATTATACTTAAAATATTATATTTACCTTCAAAGGCTACTCTTAGTTCTTTTAACAAATTAACGTAAGCAACTCGGTCGTCGGCGCCCCTTGGATATTCCCAATCAACATCTAAACCATTAAATTTATACTCCCTCAAAAAGTCAATTGCATCATAAACAAACTGATTTGATCTGAAAACGTTTCCTGTTAGTTCTTTGAATGGAGTGGAGCCAAATGCCCATCCGCCAATTGCCAAAAGAACCTGAAAAGTAATGACGTTACCAAATCACTAAGTACTAAGTATTACTAAAACATATTAAGTAATAAATTTCTGAAAAAAATATTTATAACAAAAATGATATTACGTGTATTAAATAGTTCTATTTTTTTTTCATTTTGAGAACAATTTCCGAAGTGGAAATTGAAACGTCAATAAACGTATTTTTATCTTTAATTGTGGCTTATTCCCAGTTAAATAGTAATTAAAATAGTTCTATAATCTAAAATTATTTTTTCATAAACAGTCAGTCGAAAGAATGGAATGAAGTTGTGTTTTTTTAATAAAACACTCTATATATAAAAGTATTTTTTATACATATGAAGTATCTGTATAAGGTTTAATAGGTCTAAAATTAATAATTTTTAAAATATTTACAGTTTTATTAAGAAAAATGGTAATGATTAAAGGGATGTGAAATAGAATTTTAGAAATATTTTTTTCTAAAATTGCCAAACATATAGGTTACTGTAATTGTAAGGTAAGATCAATGACGTATAATATATATTTATTACCATAAGAATAAAATGATTATCTTGTATTAAATTAGACCTTAAAAATATTATTAAAATAATTATTAATTATATTACAGAATTAGTACAGTATTATTAACCAAAGGAATCGTTTCAAAAACAAAATATGATTAAAATATGGTAGTTTATTTCTTTCCTAGATAGCACCGTTAGTTTACTGGACAAACGGTGACTTGTCATCATAGCGTTTTATATAGATAGAAAACAAAAAAAGCTACTACTAAAAGGGCACTACACATTATCTTCATTAGTAATGCACGTATAGCGACATACGAGGTATCATAGGGCACTATAGATAAAAATAGATTTACTATAAGACAAATTTTGATTTAATAACTTAAAGAAGACCTCTGGCTGATTACAAAATAAACAACTGATTGAATATTAAGGTAATAAGGTATAGGATATAACTAATATATTTCGAAAAAAAAAAAAACACAAAATAAGAGATTACCAAAAGGGCACTACAGTTTCTCTTCGTTATTATTTAACGTATAGTGACATACGAGATGTCACATTAAACTATAAATGATAGACATATTTGCCTTATAATTATATAAAGCATGAGGTAAATTCGATTTATTGACTTGAAAAGCGCCTCTGACTTATTACAAAATAAACAACTAGCCTAATACTAGCAACGACGTGAGATGTATATAGCATTTTTCATATAAAAATGTTTGCACGTCACAACTTATATAAAGTGATGTTACTTATATTTAAAATTTCCAGAACGTCAATCTTAGAGTTAATATTTTTCTAACACAGCTAATAATACGAAAGCCATAAGGAACTACTTGATCTTTCATAGGCGTCAACAGGGTATAATAATCAGAAAAATGTAATCATCGTTATATTGGGAATTTTAGAATTATATTTATTAAATAGCAAAAAACTTTTGTTATTAATAATATAAATTTTATAAAATAACTTTTAAAGTCTAATATTTCACTAGATAATAATTTTAATTAAATAGATTAGACAATTTTACGCAACTCATACGGGAAAGCTTCAAATTTTATTGACAGTTCAGCATGTGGTAAAATTGTTTTAAGTATTGCCGCTTTTTTAGAGTAAAAATTTTGTTTATGTATAAATAAAATAATTGTTGTGTATTGCGATTGTGCTATGCCAAAACAAAGAAATAGTCTGTAGGAAGCTGATAAGCTTTCATTTAAGATAGATTATTTTGAATGCACCAGATCGTACTTTCAATTTACTTGGATTATATGCAAAATGTTTATTATTTTAACAATTTAATGACTGACTGTACATGCCAATTGATTGGATCATTCGCCGCATGCGACGGGCAAATTAAATAGTAAAAATATAAATGATATGTTAACGTTTTTCTAATATCTTGTCTATTTTTAAATAATTTAATATCTTTGACATGTTATGTATTCGTATATAATATACAATGTAATCACTATTCTTAAATAGAAAATTTTCATCATTTTTTTATTAAAACACCTATATATTAGTATTGCATTTTGCAGACAATATTACAGCCTTTCTTGTGATACCAGGTTATATATACCTAGCGTGTTTCTTTTTGGAGATATTAAGAGAAGAAATATATATTTTATCTATATGCTGAATTTTGAAGCGAAGCTTCTATACTGGCGTTGCATTACTTTTTGCTCTATTTCAAAATACTGAAACGAAGGTTACGGAACTAGGAGAAGGCGTCACGGCTAGCATCACAAAATAGCGGTTCTTCACATTGATTTACTACTCTCGATCATTTCGTTTCTAGTGCAAGTAATTTCAGGTGCCACACAAGGCATTGTGTATACGAATTTTTATATTATCCTGTGTTGTGGATTGGTTGTTGTATACAATACTCTTGATGTACCCAAAAAAAAATTCCAGTGTAGTAAGTCGTGGATATCTTGAGGGCCATTGCACAGTACCATATCCGATCCAACTATCGTTGTAGTTATTATTTAGAACATGCCTAGCATTTATTGTATGATGCGATGGTGCTCCGTTATGTTTAAACAAAATCTTGCTTCTAATTCCAAGGGAAGTATATAGGATGGGAAATAAAATCCGTAGAACTCGTAGTGTTTTACCACTTACATCGTTTTAATCAGCAATAAAATTACATTCTAAATTTTAATTATATCTTACCTTTAAGTCTGGATGTTTATCTCTTAGATCAATTACTCGTTCATACATTTCAGGATCTTTATTATTACCTTCTGCCAATTTATGATCTTTTAAAGTAGCGAATGAATAAACTATATGAGTACATAGCGTTGCATCAATATCTTCAGGGGTAAATTTACCAGAACCCGGTCGCTTATAGGACCAACTCGTCATATAGCAAAATACTTGAGGTTTTCGAACTGAAAAAAATTGTATTACTAATACATATGTTACATAGATAGATGTTTTTATTATATGTTATCTTAATAAACTAAACTCGTAAAACTAAATAAATGTTTAGCGCTTTTAGATTTATTGAACTCATTATTAAATCTACAAAATTTTGAGACTCCGAAAAATTCTAAATATTCATGGCTTACTCGACGCTTTATAGAATTTCAATGTTATTAACGCAAGAGCTGACGTTATGTATTTCGCCTTAAATTAAACTGATTTCTTTTATTCAGTATAAACCACTTCTCACTTATCTTAATTATCTTTTTAAAATCCTAATATAAATTAAAAACTAACTTAGATTTGCCAATGATTCTGTGCAATAAATTTATTTGAAAAGATACAAAACGTAGCTGCTTCAAAAATGTTAACAAGCATTGTACATAATTTAGCGAATATAAGGATAACCACTTAATTAAATTAACAAAGACAAACCAAGACAAAGATAGCAGTACAAATAGTAGTGTTCCATATGAATAAATGTCGTTACACAAACCCCAAGATATCAGTGTTACCGAAATTAAAATCTACGATACTCCATATAAAAAATAAAAACTATTGCCTAAACAAGGCAGTAAAGAGAGCTAACTTACATAGTAAAAGCTCAGAAATCAAGTTCGAATCCAGTCGGAATTGAATATTTTTTACTAAATAAAAAAAACGGCAGTTTTCATTATCGTCGGTATTTAATGAAAAGTAAAATATTTTATTTTACATGAAAGTGAAAATACGAAATTGGCTAATATAATTTGATTAAAAATATCGTCATCATCAATATGGATGTGTTTGTTTTTTCGTCTTCAATAGGAAATTCTGATAGTTTTAACTAGCACATTCACCGCAAGTAGTGTTGAAATGTGATTGCAATACAGCTTAATTTTACAGCAATCACACGATGCGCCACACCCTTTTGCAATTTACTTTGCAATTTACCAATCATATTCAAAAGTTCTGTTGGTGTAGGATTTTTTTTGGAGTTTGACAGGTTGCAATGATTCTTCTAAGGTAGTCCATCCCCATCAAGTTAGACTGGTGTTTTTATTTTCAATATATACTTGAACTTGGTGGTAACATCTTTTAATATACACGTTGAGAGCATTTACTGAAGAAGCGAGGACTAATAAAGTCACAGAAGTGTTTTTGGTGGTAGCCTTTTTGGAAAATTAAGTTAGTTTTTTTTCTTGACATAACTGTATAAATTGATTTGATAGTTAAAATGTATAGTATGAGCTATTACAAAAGGGCTCTCATCTACGGATTCATCCATTTTTTAGTGGAAATATTTATAAATAAACAATCAAAACGCCAAACTCATTATTTTGCTTATAACATAACTTATAAACTTGTATATTTAGAGATTTGATGTCAACAGACAACATTTCAGGAAAAAGATACCTAAAATGAGATATACCGCTGGTTTTTGAATATTTTAATTATTGATTAAAATTTGTTTAAATATATCCGAATTTAGGGATATTATCGCGTTTGAACTGTGTGCAAAAGATGGGCAAGGTCGGTTGAATAGTTTTTGTAAAATTTATTTTTTTTGGCTGTTATTTTGGTTATAATGACCAAATACTAGACTGCATTTCATTTCAGTTGAACTTCCACAAGTGCTCCTGACGATGGGTTGAATAACCCGAAACACTTGTAAGGCAATGGTGGAGTTGCGATTGAAATGAAATGCAATCTTTAACTTTCATTTAAACGTCTTTCTCTACGTAAAAAGCGAAAAAGATGGTAATTTTCGAAGGTGAATCGTAGATGCATGTCGCAGTAAAAGGATACTTCTAGCGTCGTAAAAAGCCTCTAGCAAGAGGCTTTGAATTTGCGGTTCACCTAATTTGCTATCAGAGAGGTCTCTCGACTTCTTGTTATTTCGTATAGATGTCGCTGCTAGCGTACCCTGGCTGTTATTTTGGTTATAATGACCAAATACTAGACTGCATTTCATTTCAGTTGAACTTCAACAAGTGCTCCTGACGGTGGGTTAAATAACCCGAAACACGTGTAGAGCAATGGTGGAGTTCCGATTGAAATTAAATGCAATTTCACCGACAGCAGACTAGAAGCTCGTAGTGGTGACTTCATTATACTTTTAAATTACTAAATTTAAATCAATCACTTTAATAATGGTACCTAAAGTTAAAATTAAACTTTAACTATTGATATACTGTTGGAAGTGCATCATAGATCTTTTTAGTTCTTCTTCATATTAATGTGATTAATTTTTATACTTGTTTACATAATTTTTTATATACATGTACAACTACCACATTTTCTTTTGATGTGCTAAGTTTGAGAAAATTGTTAACTATATTTAGTTTAATTTATTGTTTATACAACATAATCTTTTAACGCCCATTGTCAGAAGCTTCTTTACAATTTTAATATCATTGACTGTTACATGTCTTTTTGAGGTAACACACTTAATAACTTTTATTTGGATGTTTGGTTTTTCATATTGTTCTTTTTAGATGAACTGATGATGCTTTCTGATTAGAAAGCAAAACGTCTTCAATAGATAGATGAACTAGCCATCTTCTTTGTCTTTTTTTTTTCTCCACCTTTTGACCGAAAAACCCACAACTCTGCGAGTGATCCTTAATATATATATATATATATATATATATATATATATATATATATATATATATATATATAATATATATATATATATATATATATAATATATATATATATATATATATATATATATATATATATATATATATATTATATATATATATATTATATATATATATATATGTATATATAAATATATATATATATATATATATATATATATATATATATATATATATATATATATAGAAAAATAAAACGTGAAGAGATTTTCTTCGATTGTTGGTAACGCTTCGTTTAATATTGTCATGTAATTAGCTCTAGCAGTTTTTGATTTTAGCACCTTGGTCGATTTGATTTTTGGTCTGGCCGTCTGGTGACTGCCATGCGTACTAAGCACGTACTTACTACCACCATTCCTAATGATGCCGCAAGTTTAACCAGCCGTAAACCATTTTGATTACTGACCGTATGGAGACTATGTTCACCAATAGTGGGTCTGTAGGTTGTCTCGTGCCCAACTTTAGCATTAAGATCGCCAATAATAATTTTTATGTCATTGTTCTGACATTTCCTATAAGTGCTTTCCACTTCCTCATAAAATAGATCTTTCTCCTCGTCTACTTTATCTTCAGTTGGAGCATGGATGTTGATAATACTGTAGTTAAATTGCCCCTTATTCGCAATCTACATATTCTTGGGCTTATTGGGTCGAAAGCTATGACTGTTGATTTTACGTGTTTGTTTAGTATAGAATGCTATAGAATGCTAGAATAGAAATGCTAGAAATAAAACATGAGAAGGAAGAAATTAATAATACAGGGTATAAAGGAAGAACAAAGAGAAGATTATAGAACTCAAAAGCAAAACCCAATAATGCAAATACTAGGAATTAAGATAAACTCCGAACAAGAAATAACTTATATAAAAAGAGTGGCATAGCAAGATGCTCATAAATAAAAAATATGCCTATATTGATGGTATATAAATATGGAAAATAAAGAGTAAAACTAAGAAAACAGATATACTTACTGGAAGAGTCCAAATATCTTAAAGAAACAAAAATATATTGAAAGAAAAAAAACTAGTCAAACATATGAAAAAAGCAAGAAAAAGATACCAGGAACAATTAAGGTACAATACACTGTGGATAAATAGAGAAAGATTTACGTTTGACCATCTTCAAAACTATGATATAAATGAATCGGTAAAAAATATACACACGAGAAAAACAAAGTGGAAAACACAGGAAAAGAAAGATAAAGCTTGATCAGGTAGTCGTAGAAAGTTTAAATACAGAACATAAACTAGCGAAAATAAAAAAGATAACCAATATGAAATCGTAGGCTTCCACGGCCAGAGTCAGAATTATAGTTTATTCGTCTTCCGGGTTTGGACCGTGTCATTTGAGAGTGACCCAAAGGTGGGTTCATCTCGACGTTTCGCTACAATTGTATGTAGCTTTTTCAGGAGAACAAAGAAAAGAAAACAAAAGAGAGGAAGATGGGTAGTTAGCAACGGTAACTCAGTTACTCAACGCAACCAGAGGCGAATACTAACTACCAAGATGGGCATTTGGTCACAGTAACTCAACTACTCAACGCAGCCAAAGGTGAAAACCAAATGCCAGGACAGGGATTCACGTCCAACAGCTCAGAACACTAACGCGTCGAGAGGCGGGGAGTGAATCCCAAATACAGGATGTTACTTCTGTAATAGATTTTTCAAAAATCTATTACAGAAGGTCCACAGTATGTCCTACCGTTTAAAAGATATCTTTTGGATGGCGCCCTCTGCACAAGCCAAGGAAAACTAAAAATGAAAGCAAAAATTTCTTTGTATTCTTCAGAGACTCTTTAACTATGTCCAAAAGGAATTTTGTCAATAAACATAATAGTTTTTTCATAATAAAATTGTTCTAAAGTGTTTTTTTTTCAATTTCAAAGGAAAATGTCCACTTAATAAATTTTGATAACATAATTGTAGGTCCAAGAAATAACAACAACGGACTTCCACAAGGCTCAGTTTTAATCCCTTTTCTCTTTAATTTGTATACTGCTGACTTACATCAATTAAGTTTTAATCACATTCCGTTTAAAATAGTACAGTATGCTGATGATCTCTGTATATATATTGAAAATAAGAAATTTAATACCACTATGGCTTCTCTCATTTGGTGTTGTTCATGAATGGTTAATATTAAATGGATTTCAGATTTCCTACTCCAAGTCTGAAGTTTGTGTTTTCAGTAGACACAACTTACCTAAATTAAGTTCATTGTCCTAGGTTCATATAATTTTTGCATTAAAGACTCCGTTAAATATCTTGGCATGGTACTTGATAGGAAATTGACATGGAAAATTCACATTAATTAGATGTTAGACCGATGTATAAAGGGTTTAAATTTCTTAAAAATGGTTACTAAGACTTGGTGGGGAGCTGGCGTTGAAACCGCCTTACTATTCTACCGTGCCTGTATCAAGTCCATATTGGATTATGGATGCATCTTGTACGGCTCTACTAGTTTACAGATTTTACACAAAATAGATATCTTGCAGAACTCAGTCCTACGTGTATGTCTTAGTTACATGTAGAAGCTAAAACCTATTCCTATATTTAAAATTTTAAAAAATTACTTAACATCCACACAAACTTAATTATTTATACATATATTATTACGTATAAATAATTAAGTTTGTGTGAATGTTAAGTAATTTTTTAAAATTTTAAATATAGGAATAGGTTTTAGCTCAACAGACTGTGATAAATTTTATCAACAATTTTTATAAAATCATTTATGATACAAGCTCATTAAGTTTCTCCCTGATGAAGGACATAACCAATGTCCGAAAGCTTGGAATAAAAATTTAAAAGAGTACACCTTTCATTTTTATTGCTGCATACCCAATATTTAAAGTTTACTTATATATATATATATATATATATATATATATATATTATATATATATATATATATCGATGCCTCAAAGTCCAAGGATGGTGTGGGATGTGCTTTTTATATTCCGTCCAAAAATATTAATTATTCCTACAAACTGGATAACATATTTTCTATATTTAGTGCTGAAGCTATTGCAGTCTACGAAGAGTTGACATTTTTATCACAGTCTACAATTGATTCTGTAATAATTATATCGGACTCCCTGTCTGTTTTAAATTCCTTGGTTTTGGCAAAATACCTAAGTTACTCCCCTAATTATATCATATATGCAATTAAAAAACGGATTTTAGAACTGCAAAATGTTAACAAAAACATTAATTTTGTATGGATTAAAGCACATATCGGTCTTGAAAATAACGAGTATGTGGATATGCTGGCAAAAAAAGTGTGAAAAATGGTTTGACCAATAAACTACCTGTAAGTTTTTGTGATGCAGTAGCTTATATTAGAATGAATTATTTCAATATTTGGAACGAATGTTGGTCACAACGTACTTATACCAACCCTTCTAGATACTGCAGTATACAAAATCAAATACCGAATAAAACGTGGTTCCAGCAATATAATGATTCAAGAAAATATATCACAACGATAACACGTCTTAGATTTGGCCACGCCTGTTATCCCACACATCTCCATAATTTTTTTTTTTTTTATTGGCATAGACTTTTAGTCATTCAGCCAGACTCAACATGGTAAAAAAATAGTTGTCTGAGTTTATATTAATAAATATACAAAACAAAGAACAGGTAAACAGGATCACTCTCTTCTCGCCTAGGGGCCCATCAAGGCATTTTTTTTTAAGACATACAACACTAGGCCACGGTAAGAGGGGAATTTGACAATTGGGTTAGAAACAAAGGTTACTTTCTCCATAAAATTAATGTTCTTGAAAATGATCTTTGTCAAAATTGTGGCAAAAAGGTGACTGAGATCATATTTTTTTCGAATGCCAAAAATATAAGGATGAAACAGATCAATTTATTCAACAATTACATAATCTCAATGTACAGGCTCCGTTTAATATCCTAAGTCTCTTAGCTAATGGAAATGAGAGAATTTATATTGCATTAGTAAAATTTTTGTCAGGTACCAAAATAGTCTTTTAGTGTCAACTATCAAAAAAATATATGTATATGCAAAATTGTGGTGAGCAACTGGGACAGTCCATAGCAAAGCAGCTATCGAATTGAGTATATAGCTGCTCAAGAGTTTGCTGTGAAACTCTGAGAACCTCATCATCTTGTTTATATATAAATATAGATAAAATGGAGATAATACAAAAAAGTTAGTATTTTGAATTATATTATGTGTACCATTTTTTGAACACACTGATGATGCTGAAAAGATGCTATATATTTAACTTTTATCCTATTTTAATTTTAGCTCTTAAAAGCATAATGTTCAGCTCTTCATTATTGATATTTTATGGACCTTACAGTCATAAAATTTTTATGTTTAAGATAGTAGTCATGTTGTAACTGACTAATTGACACCTAGTCTATGCCAATAAAAAAAAAAGGCTAGACAAAGCACTCACGACTGCAAAGAAGAAACAACCCTTAATGATAAAAACGAAATCGAAATTCGATATATGAGGATTTTTTACGTGTGATAAGAAATCTAAAGCAAAAGAAAACAGCAGACCAAGGTAAAACCCAAACTAGCCAATACAATAAGGCGAAGAAGAACTGCAATAAAAAATATACGATCTAATGATAAAGATTTGAGAAGAAGAAAGAATGCCCGAAGAATGGAAAACAGGGTGTATATTTCAAATTTTAAAGAAAAGACACACCACACAATGCAACAAATATAGGAGAGTAACATTGATAAGAGCTGCTAGTAAATATTGACATCACTAATCAAAAACTCTCAAAATACATTTAAACTAAAATAGAGAACATCAGCAGGGATTTAGAGAGTTAATGATTACACAGACAATTGAGGGGTGTTACGAATGCGATATAGACTTATACATCCCTTTCATAGATTTCAAGCAAGAATTTAATAGCCTAATACAATCTCACCCAATAGAAGTATGTCTACTAAAAACCTAGATATCTCAATGAAACTCATAAAGCTTACAAAATTGACAATGAAGGAATTGACGGCAGTAAAAGATGACGGCATCTCCAAAAATATAGAAATAGCATTTGGAGTACGATAGGGCGACTCTATATCAACGTCCCTACTTAACGTTAGAATAGAAGGAACTATAAGAGCTAGTGAAATATAAGCTACAATTATAACATCTATATCGCAACTTTGATGTACGCTAACGACATAGTACTGATTGACGCTAGCCCAAACAGTTTAAAGGAAGAATTTGCAAGTTGTAAAAGAAATCATCCAAGAGGGGTTTGGCAATAAATCAATATAAAACAAAATACCTTATATGCTCAAGAAAAAGTTCAGTTAAAGCTACAAGATATTTAAGTAAATATTTGGCAATATAAGTTTAAAAAGGAAGAAGACTTTAAATATTTTGAAGTATCCGTTAATGTAACTAATGAAAGAGGCATAGTAATCCATGAAATAATTCTGGCAAGAAACGGAACTTACAGGAAATACAACAACTTCCTCAAAAATAAGAAGCTTACTAAGAATACTAAACAAAAATTTATAGAACAGCAATTAGACCAGTAATCACATATAGTGCTGAAATAAATGTGACTGGCAGAGAAAGATGAAGAAAGATTAAGGATCTTATAATAGCAAAATAAGTCGGAGGATAGCACGCCCACTAAATTTAGGTAATAATCAATTTAGAACACTAATGAACTACGAAGTAAGAGAACTTTTAAAAGGAGAAGATATCATCATATTTATCAAAGCACAGAAACTAAGATTGATGGGACATCTAGAAAAAAAATTCAGAAACAGTTATTAAGAAAATCACCAAATGAAGATCAGTATTAGGCAGACGACAATGAGGAAGAGCGAAGACGAGATGAGGGGACCAGATAATTGCATACCTAAATAAGACGGGAGTTAGAGATTAGAAAACCATAAACAAAAATGGGAAAAAATAAAGAAATATTGTAGAAGATCCTAAGTCACAGATTCCCAGCAACAGATTAACCAGAACAGTTCAAAGAGGGCAGCAATCACTCCGCTAGGGGTGTAGATGCCCTGATGATTGAATTTTAGCTCTTACTGTTGTTAATTAACGTAACAATGATTAAAAAAGGGCTGTCTGAGCTACTAAGCGTCTTGGAATATATTTTTTGTTTTACCAGTTGTGCTTTTTTCAGCTTCTCAAATATTTTTTAGCTATTTAATTTTACCTAATGTTACGGAGTTATTTTTAATGTTTAATAAACTTAAAACGTATTATTTAATATTCAATCATTTTGTGAAGTAAATATGTGTAAATAAATGCAATTTTCTTTAAACTTTTTTTTTCATTGGTTATTAGTATACGGTTTCAAAAAGAAAATATGCCCCGGCTTATTGACATTCATTCAATCAACTTATCTGGACTAGCCTTAGAAATTAGCTTATATTTTGCACAGAGTTCAAACACGATAAAACACTCAAGTAAAGGTAGATTTGAACAAATTTTAATAAATACTAAAAAAGTTATTAACAATATTTAAAAATCGTCTAATTGACAATCCCTAAATGAGTCTTTTTGTAGTATGTCATAGTAGACATTTCAATTGTCAAACTCTTAATTTTTCACAAACTTAATTGGTATATTAATGTTCCTCTAAGTCTTTTATTTTTTTGCATTTTATTTAATGTGTAGTCTTTAGGAACTGCATATAACCTGAACGTAAAAATCGACTGTTAAACTTTGTTCTGTGTTAGAGGTGTTGGTATAAAATATATTTGCTTTTTTATTAAATCTGATTTTTTCCCACATTTTCAAAAAATATAATTACCCTTATTATAAAAGGTTTAAATTGTATCACATTCAGTAAAGGAATGTGAAAAGGGTATAAATTGTGCACTGTTAGGATAATCTATTTCAAAGCTTGTGAATGAATATACCAACAAGGGCACATTTTGTTTTCCTTAATTAGAAAGAAAAACATTTCTTGGTAGGCTTTAGCTATAGCAATTAAAATAACTAGTTTGTCTGCTTAAATTATTAAAAAAAAAAATCGATGAGTCTTCAAGAAAATCCAAGGCGAAAACCCTCATAAACTGAATTATAATTTCAGCTGAAAACAAATGGAAATTATTTTTATAACTCATATATTACTTGTATAATAGTTAAATTAGTCAAAGGTATATATAAAAACCATTAAATTTAGTAGCTTCAAATGAACAAATATGTATACAATTAATAAATTCACATAAAAATATCTTACTCTTTCTGTTTATCTTTTCTCTCTTTGCATCGCTAGATGTTCTTTTCTTTGAAGATGGTTTCCTAACTCGTTTTAGTACATCGGACACTGCTATTTTAATTGGTTTTGGTTTTTCTTCGTCTTCATTTTCTTCATCATCGTCATCATCTTCGGATGGCCCGGCAATTTTCATCCAATCAACGTCTTTTGTATCTTTTCCACGAGAAATTCCCATTAATTCTTCTCTATAAAAGGATAAATGGAATAATAATTAACTATTCTAGATAAAAGAAAATAGGATATTTTAAATGCGCAGGTATTTAAGTTTTAGACAAAATAGAAAAAATTATATCATAAGTATAAAGTTATATTTACTATTCTACTATAATTTATATAATTAACTATTCTAGATAAAAGAAAATAGGATATTTTAAATGTTCAGGTATTTAAGTTTTAGACAAAATAGAAAAAATTATATCATAAGTATAAAGTTATATTTACTTGTTTACTCGTTAAAAGCCTCTGACAAAAAGAATAGAGATCGATTTTTATTTTAATTCATTAATTCTTAATACAACGGTAAATCGAAATTTAAGATTATAAAGAAGATAAAGACGACTGGCTTTTAAAAGTTGTGCATGTTAAGTATCAACATCAATAATGATGGCTAATATAAGTCATATATCTGATTTATCCACTACAAATTCAAAATCATATTCACAAATTACAAAACAACAGAAGGCAATGCCATTTACAACGAAACAACAAGCTACAATAAAAATACTTGCAAGCTATAGGCAGTATAATTAATCAAATTAATATAATTTTTTCCCCAATTACCAATAACCGAATATGCGTAGATATATTTATCAATCAAAGAATATGTAGATGGCCTAGAAAAGTCCAATGGAATAATTAAAGTAAACGATGAAGTCCTTCTAATTCGTATATTAATGACGCTAAGTCGAACTTATATTGCCTAATGTATGTCCATCTATACCACATCGAACGAGAACTACTCCAATTATTTATCCATTTATGCTCACCAATAAATTTTCTAAAAATAGGCACTTTGAATTAAAATTTTAAACACATCCTAAGTCTCCGTCGCATCGTCTATATAACTATATCAGAGATCTTAATCCCTAACTCAATTTTATCCAAACTTACTCCAACTCCAACTCAAATTATCCAAACACATCAACAATAACATCAGAAAACAACATCGACCCAAACACAATATTTCAATCAAATGAAATTAACAAAAATTCTGTGTTCTCATCCAAACCAAATACCATTTATCCTATATGCAACCAAAATGGAGAATTGTCAGTTTCTATCAATTAATAGTCTAGTATTCCCTAAACTCATGGGTGTCGCTGAAACAAGTAAGTAACTCTATCGCAAATCTAACTGTTTCGGAAATAGTAACCCCCCTTCTTCCACTCCAACTGAAGACAACAAAAACAAATTTCACAAACTAAAAGAACCTTAAACAAAAAAGATTAAAAACAAGCCAATTACCAAAACTCAACACGAGATATTGACTTTACTTCATTAACAACTCATACAAAAGAACTATTTAACGACGAAACTCAAATTCTTAATATAGGCGAACAGATCGCGTTCGTTTGAAAAAATATTTTTCCGAAAATCGCCAGGAAATTTTGACATTCCTGTCAAAATTTCTTGAAGAAAAAGTCAGGACTTCCTTACTGTAAGGAAATGTCATTTCCTTACTGTAAGGAAATGATATTTCCGTACAGTTGTTAGTGTTCTACATAAATGATAGAAAACACATTGCTTATAAGGAATTAATTTATATTTTGAAAACATCAAGTAATTGCTGAATACATTTTTAAGATCAATTTGTTATATTTACAGTAATTTGACAGTTAGTACAATTATTAAACATTGGAGGAACACTCTTAGAACTATGAGAAACATTTTGGACAACCAGCAATTAAATTTATAAGCGTCAAGTTTGACAATTCAACCTCAATACGTTTCCATAGTAACTTTATTAGGAATTAGTAATTTTATTAGGAAAAAGTAATTTTATTAGGAATTTCAAAGCACCATTTATTTGGGAATAAAATTATCGCGTTTTTTTTTAAATCAATCAATATCTGTCGAATTTTAAACGATTTGCGGAAAAATAGTATGTTTACCTCGTAGGAAAAGCCACATTCCTGGACTCTGTGTTGCTAGCAATCTTCACAGTCGTCCAGGAATGTTAAGCTTTTCCTACCCGGTAAACAATGTACTATTAATGAGATTCTTTTGAAAAATAACTATCATGAGATAGCCCAAAATTAGGTTCAGGAGGTCGCTCAGGCAAAAACTGTTTTTGCCTGGGTGACCCAGGCTATAAGATAGGAGTTCTCTAGTAGTATAGATCTCAACTTTTTTAGTTCCTTGTCCCTTAACTCGATGTGTGACAAGTTGATAAACCTAGTTTTTAAGGCCAAAACCAAATTTGTTTTCATTTTAGATGGATGTTGAGAGTAAAAATTTATGAAACGGTTACTAAAACTAGGTTTGCGATACCACTCCGTCCTCACATGCCATGACTGCCACGATGGGTAACCATGTCTAAAAAAGGAATCATACTATTAGCCTCTCTCTCAACTCCTATCCCATAGGGCTTTTAAATAAACTCATTTTCGGTTCTCCTTTTTCTTCACAATTTTCTGACAATTAAAATTTTCATAATAATGAGGTCCAACAATTGACATTGACATACAACACATCAGTAATACCATCCAAAATAACTTATGGTTACCTACCCTACATTCCAGTTCTGACACCCAAGCTAATCAATATTTTCAAAAATAATAGTGGCTTAAAAATTACAGCTAAGAATGTGAAAACGGTATCGAAGTTATACACAAAAACAAAAGATCCTTTCACAATACAGGAGTCATCGAATGTTGTTTATTCTATTCTTCTTCAAGTGCCATCTCCGCGACCAGGGCCGGCAATCATGATAGCTATTCGGACTTTTGATATGACTGAAAAGTTTATTTGATGTACATCCGTACCATTTTCTGACGTTGCGCAGCCATGATATTGTACGCCTCCCTATGCTTCTCTTTCCTTGGATCTATCCCTGCATATTCAGTTGGAGCAAGATATATTTCTCTCCACGTGTAATATATCCGAGATATTCCAATTTTCTTGTTTAAATTATATTTAAAATGGCCATTTCTTTATTCATCCTTCTCAGAATCTCTTTGTTGGTGACGTGTTCTGTCCACGATATTTTTAGAATTCTTCTATACACCCACAGCTCGAATGATTCCAGTTTTTTCATTGATGTCGCATTCAAAGTCCAAGATTCCATTCCATAAAATAAAGTCGAAAAAACATAGCACCTCGCCAACCTAACTCTTAGTTCCAGATTTGGAAATCCCTGAAATCCCGGAAAATCCCTGGTACATAGCACTCTTCTCATTTGGTTCAAATTTGCTCTAGCTTTTTCTATTCATATTTTGACCTACTAAACGTAATCATTTGTGGAGGTAATCATTGTTCCCAGATATGCATATTTGTCTACTTGTTTGACGTTGGTTCCGTTTATTAAAAGACTCTCATTATTTCTTTGAGTTTTCGATATTCTCATAAATTTCGTCTTCTTGACATTCATTGTTAGACCATTCTCTTTTCCATACTTTGCTATTCTGGTCACCAGTCTCTGCAGATCTTCAATGTTCTCGGCTAAGTAGTGACATAAAAACCAAAAAAAATGCTTGTGCACTTACAGAACATGCATTAACTTTGAAATGTAAGTTTAATTTCGAAGATTTCTGTATTTTGGAAAAAAAACATTTAACACGTATTTTCTTGGAAATGTATTTCATAAAATTTAGTACGTCTTGCATAAATAAAAAGCCTGACTTAGATAAACTGAGCAACATTTATTGTTATTTACTGGAAGAACATCAAAAATAAAATAAATATTTACCTCTAATTTAGCTGAGAATAAATCGCGAAACTAGAAATCCGAAGATTGATGAAACCAAAACAAATCCTTTGAACAAAAGCTTTAACAAAAAATATAGCTTCTGGACCTGATAGTATTGGCATATTATTTTTACAAAAAATTTCCATGGAAATTTATGTAATTTTCAAAGTATTTTTTACATTATATTGATCTTTAAAAAAAATTAAAGAAAAATAAATAACTATTACCTCATCGCACCCACAAGCGGAAATTTAACTTCTCCACCACATACTGTTCCAGTAAAATCATCCATATCAATTGCCCAAACCATAGCTCCAGCAAATCCGCTTTCTTTTATCCACTTCATTTTATATCTAATAGATTTTTCATCATCAAACCCTACCCATTGATCTCCATGAACCGCATATGGCACTTTCATTTCGTCATCCCAATAGTACGTTGCTCCATTCAATAGCATTTCACATACCTAAATAAAACAGAACACGTTAGCACACCAATAAATACAATGACATTTTATATGTTACTATCTATTATTATAAGAAAGTGTAATTTTTTTAGAAAATTGAGTTTAAGAATAACCATGACGCCATTAAGTAAATAAGTAAATAAGCAACGATTTAACTAACGATCTGTTCAAATTATTGTAAAGTATATTTCACGAATTTGCTACCGTTTTGGATTATCGCTAGACACTCAATAGCCAATTGTTTACTGTATACCATGAAAATATGAAATAAATATTTTCTAAATTGAATTAAAAAAAATAATTTAAAATATTTTTACGGTACCTACTAATAAAACTTATTTTTCACGACACAACTCAGATGGTACGGACACGTAAAGAGAATGCCGGAGAATAGAATACCAATACAAATTCTTGAATGGCAACCAAGAGGGAACCAAGAACTGAGACCAGGAAGGTCTAGAAGAAGTTGGTGATAAAGAAATCAGGGAAAGAGAACTGGAGGACGATCTATGGAATGATATAATAAGATGGATATATATATATATATATATATATATATATATATATATATATATATATATATATATTGTTATGATATGTAAAATCGAGAAAAGTATTGGTTTGCTTAAAATATTTCAAAGTTCAAAAACATTAAAATAATTCAGATAAGTCAAATAATGAACAACAAACATTTCGAAGAATGAAAGTCTTTTAATTTTGGATTACCTGTATTTAACAAAACGTAATATAAAATATATTTGAGTGACCTCGCATAAGCTTAAGTGAATTAATAGACAATTGAAGCGGTTTTTCCAAATAAATGTTGTGCAGTAATTAGGACAATAGAATAGATTTTAGAAAGAAATGTTTTTGTTAGTTTCTTTAGAATTGGTAGGAAAAGATTTTGTAAATAAGTTTTAGGAAATTTTATAATTGTAGGTAAAAATGTGGGTGTTATCGAAATGAAGAAATGGGAGATGTATGACGCGTTTTGATTGGATGAGATTGGAAAAGGTGGGAGGTTTGGTTTGAGAATGAGACGTTAGTTAGTTTTGGAAAAAAAATTGATAGTCAGTTGGTTTTCAAGTGTGCAAGGTGAACAGTCATTGTTCTCTGGTGGTTCCCGAGAGGTAGCAAGCAGTAGTGTTAAATGTTAGTGAGTTTTTGTGGAGTTAGTGTATCTGACAGAAGCTGAAGCAGCAAAATGTTGTAAGTCATATTTTTCTACTTATATTCCAAGAGTCACTGTTGAGGCCAACGAGAGATTCAGTTTATCGTAAAGAGAAGATATTCGAAGAGTCATTTTTTACTCGGGCCAACGAGAGATTCAGTTTATCTAGAGGAGAAAAGGCTATCATAATTTGAATGATTCGTGCATTTGAAGGAGATCATTAAGGACAACAAACTTGCAACAATTTGTTGTAAGATTGCTGATTATCTAGGGAACTGCTAAGAACAGATAGTATAGGTTCCAAGGAACAAGGATTTGGACCACTCATCATCAGACAGAGATCGTTTTGTTTTTTCTGCAGTTTTTCTTTTATTCATAACACAATTTTTACACTTACTTTAGAAAAGATATAAATATTTTGATTAGATTTAGAATAATAATTGGGATTTTGAGTTTTTACCTAATATTGTTTGTACCATTAATTTTGAAGGTTCACGTACGTAGAACAAAAATTTTGAGAATCATTATATGAGCTTTTGTTTATTGAAAACTTTTAAATGTGAATTTTAGTTCATTATTTTATTTCAATATATGTTAGATCCTATATGTTTTTTATTATTCCGGTATTCTTTGGACCTTACCTTTCACATGGAATAGCATAGATATTGAAGCACGAATAGAACTCTGAGATAAGAGAATTATAAAGTGTGATAGAATCATAGTCATATCATTTAAATAATTTTAATTAATTAACTAATTAATTAGCTAATTAATTGCTTGGCGCACTAAGACTTTAAATATCACATTAATATATATATATATATATATATATATATATATATATATATATATATATATATATGTATGAGCTATGAGAAAATTTGAATGATATATGTAAGAATAGGGTTTTTATCGCGGTTCTCAAAGAATTAGTTTGTAAGTATTTTTTTTTTTAATTATCTTTATTATAACTATTATGAAACAAACCTATCTATCTAATATAAGCAATATCAATTTAAAACAATCTATCTAAAATTTGGAATTCTTACAATTATTAAATTATTAACAAAATTTGGTACCTTTCTCTCACTGAAAGCCTAAAGTTTTTCCAAAATTAAAGTTATTATCACCACTCGATATTTTCTTACTCAGCCTTGGTTATCCAACAATTTAATATGTTTCTTCTTAATTATCTCCACTCACCATATAAATGTATAAATTTATATTCTTGTAATTTCCATATAATGTACTTTCAAATATACTGGATCTTGTGGTTGTATTATTGAATGCTTACTTCAATGAATTAACTTCATACTGTCACTATATTACTGTAGTAATATTTAATCTCCAACTGTATTTAACTTAATTCATTTAAATTAAGCAATCCTTTCTTCTAGCTAATAATCTCTTCATAACTTCATAAATTATTCTTAATTCTTCTTTGTAATTAATAATCACATGTAACTGACTTAATAATAATAATAATTGACTTAATAATCTTCTTGTAACTAAATTCTTAAATTATAACTTTACTGACTCACTTTACTAACTGATTAATCAACTAATCATAATCTGTAACTAACTGTAATCTGTAACTAACTAACTTCTAACTGATAACTGACTTGACCGATGATAACTCTAACTGATAACTGAACTCATACTGACTGCTCCTGCTCCAAATTACATGGTATATATATATATATATATATATATATATATATATATATATATATATATATATATATACATATATATATATCTTTTTTCGCTTCCAGAATAATCTAGCAATAAATAATGTTTGAATCATTCTATTTTTTTCTATTTGAACATTCTGGAATAAAATGTAATCGTTTCCTGTCTGTGATGTATTATGCAAATAGTCCCATTGACATTTCTAGAACTTTCTATGTACAATTTATTTGACTTTAGGCTCTCCAGATCAGAACTACACTATTATATGTAACTTAAACATTTATATGAAATATGTTTTTACTATTCTACATCCACAATTATATTCTAAATTAACATTAAAAAAATAAATAACCCACTTTTCCATCTAAACGTCAAATAACACAGTGTATGTTTGGTTGCATATGCAGATGGCTGACTTAAACATATCTAATATTAAATAAAATACTACAAAAAAACTTCTTAAACTTAATTCTTATGCTAAATTTTTAAAAATACCCTCATATAATTATTTTTTAATAATATTATCTAGTATATTACTTATAAATTATGTCTTTAATGACTATCTAAATAAATTTATTAATTAACATTGTATATCTGGCTGTATATATTTCTATGTTAATTTATTGTATTTCTGTTCTCATTATAATATATATATATATATATATATATATATATATATATATATATATATATATATTATATATATATATATAGAACTTATTTACATTAAACCTTTTTGACCGCGCATTTTAAGCGGAAATATTTCTTTGCTTAGCAGTTTTACCTTTTTTGCTCAACATTAAAGACAGTTTCATGTTATTTATCAAGGTTATGACAAGGTTTAGATTTTTAAAACATATTTTTAGTTTATATTTACATGCAAACTATTTGTTACAACCAGATTAGTTATTACCTAGAATTAAATGTTGTTCTAATCAGTGAGCTATAAGAGATTAAGATAATGGTAGATACTAATTGAATCCCTTCTAGCCTGTACTTGAGTTTCTGACTATTCGGAGAAACTGATACCTTACTTTAGCGATACTCTTAAACCGGTTGTAAATTAATGGTACCCTCGCAATAACATTGTTATAGGATTACTTGTGATTTGTAATAGTTTGTGTCTTGACGGTGGCGAGACGTGCTTTAGACATAAATCAACTAATATTTAATTTGCACGCTTATTTTACTGTTGAAAAGGCCAATGGAGACCCTTTGCGACCGGTTCATTCCGTACATAAACGTATATGTGATGGACTGTGTATTATTGAGACAAAAATTCAAGTTAGTACGAAAAACAGAAAATATATGAACAGTGAAGTAGAGGTTGCTCAATATAAATTTATATTATATACCAAATCGTAAAACCGTAAGACTTTTTTATTTTTTTTTGTTTTTTACAGCAGCCAAACTGCCTAGTAATGGTTCTGATACAGGACCGCATTCAGATCTAATGACTAGTTACAGTTTATTAACCCCTCCGTTAGTAGCGTGGGGGTTATTATTATTATTATATTATTATTATATTATTATTATATTATTTCTACTCACAGCGCTACCTAGACTTCAGTATCTTCCAAGCAGTGTATGAGTAAATGTATAACCAGGTTGTGCTTGGTAACAGGTGCTTAGTTGCTAAGCATTTCCATTAGTCTTTTAGTGGTTGACGACTATCCCTATAATTTTAGCTCATATTGATAGTACTTACGAATCCTGATTAATAATGATATTAACTTATGATTTTTGGATCTTACTTTTTTTAGAACAAAATGGAGAATTCGAAGTAGCGTAAAGTTGAAAGAAGTAACGATCCTGACGTTTGGTTAAAATGGTTCGAAGAGTTAAATAATAACGACGACGAAAGTGGTTTTAAAAAAGAAGACCACGTTACTGAAAGTAAACATAATGCGAATTCCTTACAAGAAGCAGATGAAACTGACAAAAGTGATACTAGTAGAAATGAAAGTGAAGAAATTGACAATCAAGCGGAAGAGTACCACAGAGAAAAAGATGGAACAAAATGGAACTCGTGCATATAACATAATAAAATACCATTTGCCAGGACCAAACGGTATTGCTCGAGAAAAAGACTAAAATTAACATCTGGAGTCACTGTTTCGATGAGACAGTAATAAAC